ACCTATTCTCTGCAGAACTAACTTGTTCCAAGAGAACAACATCAATCTCATGTGTACCCAGGGCCCTCATGACCCTATCACCTTACACTTGTCCCACCTCTTTTCTTACTTCTTTCTTTCTTTTTTTTTTTTTTTTAAGGAAGGAAAGGTTTATTTTAGATTACAGTTTATAGAGGGTTCAGTCCATAGTAGGGTGGCCTGGCAGAGGAGCATCGCAAAGGAGAAATAGTCCATGGCAGGCAGGCATGTAGGTGCCTCGTTCAACCTCTTGATGATTCTGCCACCTCAACACTGCTAGAGTGGGAACCGAGCTTCCAGCACAGGAGCCCCAGGGGTACACTCAAACTGTTTCTCCAGCATAGTACCTTCTCGTGTTTTTATTTGCCTTCCATATTCTTGCTCAGGCACAGGAGCCTTCAAAGACAAGCCTTCTCAGTATTTTGTTGCTAAAGAAATCAGTGGGGTTTTTATTCAATAAATAATCCATGTACAGATATAAACTAGGCATCATTTAAAAATGTTGAGCAACAGGCTTATCACCTATAAAGTGCTGACAATGACAGTATCTACACTGCAAGTGTACTGCGAGGACCAGTGAAGCAGTGTCCATAGCATATGGTACCAGTCATACAGCAGGATGAGGATGAGGATGATGAGGATCTGGATCCCATCGTTGTGTATTAAGTTGCTCAGGTTGGCTTCAAACTTGCAATCCTCCTGCCTCAGCCTCTTGAATGCAGAGCCCTCAGGGCCTAATCATCTCTTAACAGCACTTCCTCTTACACTGTTGCATTGGGAAATAAGTTTCAGCACTGGAATTTTGGGGAACACATTCAGACGAGTTGGGATGTTTTCTTCTTATCTGCATACAATGATGAAAGCCCCTACCTCATCCTCTTTTCGATGTCCATTAAGTTATTTTGTGGAAAACTTCAACACCAACACCTACCATGGGCAATATTTCCTAAAAACTTAGAATCCCCTTTATAAACCAGAGGAATGCGTACTGAACCCTGCTACAAGGCTGATTTCTGTCAAGAACCTGCACATCTAGTTTTATGGGAGCTCCCTGGGTCTTTTTCAATAGAAAAGATTCCTGAATCCCGCCACTGGCCACTCGCTGAACTCAGAAATGTTGCTATCCACAGTAAGCCAGAGATTGCCAGCTGAGGCAATTAAAGATGACCACGGAATTAACCACCTGTGAGGTCTCTGATTTAGCCTGGGTTGCTAAAAATGCAGGGACTCAGTCTTTAAGGAGTTCCTTATTGTTTGTATCGGCTGCTGAGAATATTCTGAGAAATCACCATACAAAACCACAAAAACAGAAAAGCCAGGCATGGAGTTCCCTACCTGTAACCCAGGCAGTCTAGGAGGCTGAGGCAGGAGGATTGCAAGTTCAAACCCAGCCTGAGCAACTTAGTGACTTGGTGAGATTCTGCCTCCAAAAAAAAGCAGAGGAGGGCAGGGGAAGAGGCCAGGGATGTAGCTCAGTATAAAGGCCTTGGGTTCAATCTACAGTACCATAAAGATGGGAAGGGAAGAGGAGGAAGGGAGACAGAGAGGGAGGGAATAAAGGAAGAAAGAAAGAGAAAGAAAATATCTCCCTGAAAAAGGCATTTCTCCAGCCTACCCTCCTCTGGCCCCAATGCTGATGGTTCCCAGAGCCAACATAATCTTTTGGTAGATTTCAAGCCAACCTGATGTGGTCCACCGTGAGCAACGTTGAGGTTGAGCGATTTCCTCTCTCTTTTTCTGTATTCATCTTCTGCCTTGGCTCAGGCACCTGAAAACCCATGGAAACTATTGTGTTATGCTTGTGGCTTTCAAGCTTTTGCTGCTCGTTGTTTAAGTTTTTGGATCCAACGTTTCCTTCTAAAGGCAGAGTAGAACAGGCATACACTGAACTCAGCTGTTGAACACAGTTTGAAAAGAAACATTAAAAATGTGAAAGGAAGGAAGGGAAAGAGGAAAGGAGGGGTGGAGGAAAGGGAGCAGTGAGAGAAGGAAAAGAAAACCGGTATGACAGGTAGCTCTACCCCAAGTTCGAATGGTCAGAAATAGATATCATTGGACTGTAGGGCCAGTAGGTTCCTTTGCTATGGAGAACTTGGTGTGCAACTTGATGGATGGCACGCAGCACCTCCCATCTGACAGGAAAGCAGTTGTTTCTTACTAAGCGGTAGGATCTGTTAATAGTTATCAGGTAGGATTTCCTTCTGGTCCATTCCATTCTGTTTAGATGGGGGCAGCATAGCAGAAACAGCATTGTTGCCATCTCCGGATCCTCCCATGGTACCTGCTGTTCCTGGCCCTACGGTTGTCTAGGAAGAAACTAGCATTCAAGAGCATGCATTAGGACTGACATCAAATTCTTGGAGTTCCTTTTGCCTGTTTTATTTGTAGAGCTAAAGTACATGTAAAACTTGAACAAGGAATTTGTTTCATTCTTATTTAAAAGTCATGGTCATTGGGTAGGCACAGGGAGGAAGGGGTAAACATCAAGGGTACTGTTACAGAAAAGAGGAATCAAAACCATGGAAACCTGGGAAAGGACAGCAAATCTTAATTTCACACAAAGTTAAAGGAGAACAGGAGGAAGGCTGATGGAGGCTTACTAGGGTGTCACAGAAAAAGGAAACGACACCTCAGGAATGAGAGAAGGAAATTGCCTCTCAGTGCAGGGAGGCGCTGATAAAGTTTATCAGTGTCCATTCAAAATCCAACAGAATTTTTTATCTTTATTGCCTGAAGAAAGGTATTGGTATCAGTGTAATTCAGAGCTATTGTATTTTCTTTGACATGGAACATGTTGGTATAGAGAATGAACAATATTGTCTTAGGCCCACACATCAGGTCAGGTTCCTGCAGCTGTAGAAAGAGGCAGAAACAGCTGCCAGGACCCGACTTGGGGCATCACCAAATAGTCCCTGCAATCACACCTTTAACATTGAACCTGGTGCCTCCTGTGAAGACGGTGATGGATGGAGGGAAGGAAACAAGTACATTCCATACATAGCATACAATAGAGGAGTAGTTTTGAACTTTAGAGTACGTGAGACTCTCCAGCAGAGCCGCTTTTAAAAAGTACATTTCTGAGCCCCACACCTCTGAAACTCAGATTCAGCAATCTCCATCATCACCGTGTCCCTGGTGACTGATGCAGGTGGCTCCCAGGTCCCACCCCGAGAAGCATTATTGTAGAGACTGTCACCATGGACAATCATTTTTAACCTGTGGAGCAAGAAGGTGGATATACTGGATGCTCTCACTGTTTTCCAGAGTGACAGGCATTGCTCTGTATGGAGAAGCAGAGGTGTTTATAGGACTGCGTTACAGGATTGCGCGGGATGCTGGTGAGGGGATTTGCTTTCAGAGGGACCGGGGTTGTGGTAATCACGGACAGGTCAGCATCCTTCATCCCCCAGCCGGCCTTATCACAAACCCAGTATTTTCCTTTTCTTAGGATTCTTTGCCAACCACATTACTTTGTTCAGGGAACAAGAAAACACAGTGTATCATAAATTGTAGACTTCTCAGAGGTCTCCCCTGCTGGTGTTTGTTTGGCTGTTCACTCAGGAGGGAGGTGTTATGTAACTGGGCTGCTGCTACTCACCCTGTGCCCCGGCTCTTTTCTGTAATTCATGTTTCTTGCAAAGTGGAATCTGCCACTGACTGGCGGGATTCTTTGCCTGCATTTTGATCTTCTTCCTGTCCGCCCTTGCTCTGCCCTCAACTCCCCACGTCCAATTATTGGAGCTGCTGTTACATCGCCATGCCCATGCCAGCCTGTGGGGCTAGATGAGGTGGTATTTCTTTATACTGCGTCAGTGTTCGTGAGGGTTTTATGTGAAAGAATTCTTCATAAATGAAGATTCTGTGTGGTGAGCTGCTTTCCATGTTCTAGTCTTTGGCGGCCGTAAAAGATCTTTTTCCCCTCTCTATCCTCCTCCGCTTCTCAATTGAAGCAAATCTATTGCTCTTGGCTTTTTACACTTGGTGCTGTTAGAGAAGTCAGCGAAGGCTCCAAAGAAACCCTGTAGTTGTCCAAATAGGAAACCAAAGTGGTTCCTGGGCAGCTTTATTTGGAGACCTTGTCTGCTTTTGTGATCCGGTGATACTGTAGTGCTGGTCTCTGGGTTGGAAAGATCTCAGGCAGGATGCTGGCAATCTGATGCGAACGTGCTAGGGGAAGTCTGTCTAGATTGTCTCATCGGAGAGGCCAGATGGCAGCGGAGCCTCCAGATCTGAGTCCCACTTTGCCCAAAGGTGCCTGAGGAGCCGCAGCCTGCTGACAGCTTGAAGTACGGTGCGCTGGATAATTGGCTTCCTCATTTAGTAATTTGTCTGCTTTCTTTCCTCTTCCTCTGCTTCCTCTCTTCTTGTAAACTGATAGCCTCCTGCGTCTTGAATAGACTGATAAGAGAGTCCCCTGAGCAGTGGCCAAGGGGAGGGGTGCCGGAGCCCCAGATGGAGGGCCATTTGGAGAATGACACAGAAAATAACCATCCTTCTTGCCTACGTTTCCTCTGGTCGCCTATCTTGACTTTCGTCTCTCCCCTGCAATCCTCTTATCTTATATATGGTCCCCTGACACTTCGTCCCCTATTTCTCTCTCTCCTAGAATGGAGTAAATCCCCTATTTTTGTCTCTCTGTACTTTTTCCAGTCTTCACTTTTTCATTCTTTTATCCCCCACACTCTCTCCTTGGCTTTCTTTGTTTCTACAGTTGAACAAGTTAAAATTAAATTCAAAAAAAAGGAAATTGC